AATATAATATAGTCTTGATAGTTTAAGGGTAACTGTCAACGGCAGATGAAGTTTAAAAAAACAAAAAAAAAAACAAATATGCTTAAGCATTAGTCTAGTAGTTGTTGCTGCGTTCCTTCTTAGATGGCCTTTGAAGACGTATGTAGCAGAGAGTTTGTGGCCGATAGACCACCTTTGGTTGTTTCAATAACTGGATTTTTCTCATTTTCATCACCGATATTGATCTTGGGCTGGCTGTGAAGGCGCTACTCCAGGCATATTATCTCCAGGGCCGCCATTGCATTCATGTGATCACTGAAAAAGATTTTTCATTTCAATGCGTGGCAACAAAAGTTACATTATATGTGTTTTTTAACTCGCATTCTTCTCGGCAAGTTAAGTGTGTAAAATTCTAAAAATGGGAATCACCGCCTACAATCTTCGATTGTATGCTCATTACAACATCAACTTTCGTGTCAACACATAAGTGTTACAAATCTTTGTAAAAGGAAGCAGGCATAGAGACAAAAACGCCCAAGGAAGCAGATACACCTCTGCGAATTTCAAACCAAGTACGTGACGTTAACATGTTTTGATAATTCTACCTGATTTATAATATCATAGAGGTCTTCATAACTAAAGTTAAAACAAACCTGTTGATTCTTCTGGTAGCCATTCATTACACGTGCTTTGCCTTGTGAGAGTCATTCCCAGCACTCCTGATAGGTATTAGTTCACCAATAATGCAGAAGGAAGATGAACATTTTTAATACTAAACCGGTTTAGACTGTAAAGTGGGAGTAGCAGAGTTTGAGAGGGTGACCAGGAAGATGCGTGTTGGTGTTTTCCAAGCGTAGCTGCTGTTAGTAATCGCCAAACCAAAACAGCTCTTTAGATATCGTGCTCAACAGTTCTGTTATTACGGCGAAGGCCACCAAGTCACTGAAACGTATTGACCGAGGACAGTTAGAAGTTGAGGTAGCTCTACATCACCTCGAACATGCTCACAGCGTACATCAAACCAGCCTGGAAAAGGTGTTTGAATGTATTCAAAGGGTGGCTTTGCATAACTAACATTTCTTCAAGAAAAAGGAAAACTATTGATGTTTTGTTCATCGGAATTATCTTACCTTAACGGAAGACTTGTCGCTGGAATTGTTAAAAACACTATAATTTTGAGATTTAAGATCTGACAAACCTGAGCATCAAGGAGGAGGATGTCAACCCCATCAACTCCCCACCAAGCTTGACATTTCGAACCTCCTAGAATCTTAGCAATCGGACCTCCACCACGGAAGAATATTGTCCTTAAGATGACGAAGAAGAACAGATGAATTTGCCATTCTACTGGGTTTGAGTTTTTTATAGCATCAGAAACTGGAACGATGATATTCTGGGGATTAAGGACTACCTATTTATAGGTCTGAAACCACCGCCTTGAACAGGGAAAAGTAACATTGAATGGAGTTGATAAGTATTTTGATAAGTATTTTAAAGGCAATGAATGTGGCTTCGAAACGTCTGAAAGGATAACACGAAACAACTGTAACAAACGTAAGTCAGAGTATGTAGACAACGATTCGTCTCTTTGGGTTCTCAGAATCTCCATTGTTGTTTAAGCTGATGTCAGATCGAGGAAAACAATAACACCCTAATTTCCAATATTGTCGCTGGCGAAAAAGACTATCTTGCTATTGGCCTGCATACTCAATTTCATGAGGAACAAAATAAAAGGCCATTTCGTGTTGGAGGCCCAAATAAATGTTAGTTATTTGTAAAGCCTCTTCGATAGAACAATAAACGAAAGAAGCTAATTGAATATGTAAAGCGCCACGTGTTACTATCATAGAATCCTAATTAGTGACGTGGAGCCCTCAAAATTGAGGGAACTTTATTTTATATATATAGATTTGAAACTCAGACATCAAAAATTATGGATCCAGATACAGAAATTAAAATTACGGAACTAATTGATCCGAATCCAAATACCTTAAAATTTCTGGATATTTAGATCCTTTTTACCCCATATCAATATATTTGACTTTTTGTAAAAGATCCCCGTAAATGTACCTTATTTGTACAGCAATGCGTCTCCTACTCATATTATGTGTTTAAACGTGATTAAGAAAAAACAGAGAATAGACTAACAACAGAGCAATACATAAAACACAGAAACGTCCCTTACTCATCAGTTATGAAAACACGCAACAAACTGGTAATAATTAGTTATATATATATATATATATATATATATATATATATATATTGTTAAAAGAGGCCAAACAAGTAGCTTATGTCTGAATCTTTAGGGAAACAAAGATGCAAACATTCCCAAAAAAGCTGATAAAATAAAATAAGAAGACCCAACACGAAAAAACTGAATCATTAAGAGAACGGGTAAAACAGATATGATTCAAGGACCATGCTTAGGAGGATCAAGATACACACTTGTTTCAGACGTTGTTGTTCTTGATTATGTGAGCAGTGCTTGGATGTCCTCTGTTTCCACTAGTGCTACCACTATGATTCATGTTCATGGTATTTTTTTTTTTTCGGTTGAATTCATGTTCCTTGTGTTGTTGAACCTATGGTTTCGCTTGTTTGGGTCCTCCTGATTTGCGCCATTGGATCCAACAACATAATAACCTTGGTGAAATGATCCATCAGAGACATCCATGCGTTCCATTGGTGGAGCACTTTGAGCTGGAAGCGCCAGACCAACAGGCAAAGAACCGAAATGGTTCTCAACAGAACTCACCAGATTTATCTTTCGACGCTTTGTTTTACGGCATCTTCCACCAATCGGTATACTCCTAAAAGGCCAACCACGAGTCCAACATCGACGACAATGCTTACAGGTGTAACGTGGCTGAGACAAGCAATGGTTGAACTTGCAGAACTTGGTTTTGTGAGAGTTAATTCACTCACCCTCATCACGTTATAATTCAAGTTATCCATTTTTCTCAAGATGAATTGTTTTTGTTGTTGTGGGGGTGTCTTCTTATATAGGGTACTGATATTGAAGAAGAGATACGTTTTACTCACGTGTCAAAATTGTGTATTAATAAAATCTGAAGTATATCTTCAAACAATAAACCTTAGCTAACCTTAGTCAATAACCAAGGATCTCCTACTCTTAAGTCTAAAATTTGTCTGTATATGTAAATTAGACAAGCAGTTCAAATGTTATTGAATGAGTCCAGTCATATAAACAGAAACAAAATCTTGGCATAGTAAGAGATTAATACCATTTCTAAGCAAAATAACATAAACACTAGATGTTTATTATGAAAGAGAGTATGCTCACGCGTGTATGCTCACGCGCGTTCTCATTGGGTTTTCAAGATTAGTCAGGGTAGAAGAGAGGTTTAGAAAGTGTTGAATTGTATGAAATTATATGAATTTTTTTTTTTTCAAATAGACAAACCGCCTATATACTTAAATCTACAAAGAATGTAATGGTGTACTTTATGAAGAGAGGAAACTTAACTAAGGATTTTGTAGTGGCGTTCCTGTGCATGTTTTCATTGGTGCATCATATGTTTAGGGTCTTTTTCATATTTGGATACATCTTGTGAGAATAGATAGCAGTATACTATATCAAAAAGACAAGAGACTCGACAAAGCAATATTTTTAGAACAAATTTTTATACAAATATAATAGTTTCATTTCGTACGCCAATAGAAGGTTCAAATGATTTAAAGATTACACTTCAACCAACTCTATCTTTATCCACATATTAAAATAAAGTCCAATACATTTTTAAGGTTTTGTGAGTCTCATTGTATTAAATGGAAGTTTATATTTTTTGTTCTCTTAAGTTGCTTTGAGCATGCTACACCGACATCTCTTAGAAAGATAAAATAAGCAAGAGAGAGGAGTCTTTATAGGCTCAACTCTTACTATATTCTTCTTTGTTTTTCCTTGTAAAACGGAATGAGTGTAATCGGAGGTGAGAAATCTTGTGTAGAACATTGTCGAAGGTGTTTTTCAATATCATCAGTCCAAGTTAAGATTCTTAATATCTTAACTGAATGTAGCAGTTTGTTGATGCCGTGAACCGGATGAAAGTACTGTGTTTTTAATATAGTTGAATCCAAGAAAGATCAAGATAGAAATTGAAAGGATACAACTCCTGAACAAAGAGAAACAACGCATTACAATTTAGACCCAATCAGTAATCAGAAGGAATAACGATGATAGAAAGGCAGACACGTAGAGTCAACTCAAGATTGTTGAAGATGAACAATGCCATAGGAATCCACCATGGTTAAACGTAATTAAGATGGTTCGTAACGAAGAGCTCAAATGAGACGTTTATGGTCAAAACCATTATTAGCCACCTAACTGAGCCTATGATAATCATTACTCACAAGCATTACAAGTAAACTCGAATAAAAGGCATTGACATTACTGTGGAAAATAAGATAAATTTAGCGAAGACCTAACGTCAGTCACAGCGTCTTTTAACTTTGTAAAATTCGAACAACAAATAATGGTTGGTCGAAGCCGAGACTGATTGAAGAAATATAAACTGATATTTTGGACATAACTGCCGTAAGAAAAAAAAAATTCAAAACATAGTGATAGATTTTTCTTATATATACGAATGCATCTTCACATACATGAGAAGAAGCGTAACTTAACAGAGAATAAGAAGAAAACAGAGAATGCATAAAGAGATAAAACACTTGAAAACAAAATATATATAGATCTATCAGCTTTCTCATTCGTCAAATGTTAAATATATGAGTGATTTCTTCCTAATAGACCCTTTTTGACAAGATTGGCTGAAACACTTGATAATATATGACTGAATGAAGCCTTTTTCAATTAAAAAAATGACTGAATGATTAAAATCAGCATAATTTTCCGTATTTTTATTTTTGATATTTGCGATTTTACATTTTTAAAAATAAATCTCAGTTCCAATAAAATTAATGCATCGCCACAATTCATTGTTATCTTTTATTCAAACTCGAATAGTCTCGAAATTTCAAAAAAAAAGTAATACAATAATTCAAACATTGGGATCGTAGAACCAAACCGGTCTTCCACTTGTGTCTTGAACTGGTCTTGAGTTTGTCTCATATCCCTGTTGAATTATTTAAATGATTAGCAATCGATTATCCTTAAATCAATATCAGCTAATGAGAAATCACGTTTACATTTGCATTTCGAGTACTTACATCGTCAACGGCATTCCTCAAAGCTGCAATCTGCTCCACGGATATCGTGTTCACCTGCATATACAATTCTCCTTTTATGCCAATTTTTTTTTTTTTTTTTTTGTAATGAATAGAAAAGATTATTATATTATAATCAAAATATTATACCCTTTTGACAACGGTCCAAATAACACCTTCAGTGCATGGAGGAACAGTGAGAGAGCCAATGTATCTATAGAATTTCTTGGTTTGAAATCTAATGGTTCTTGGATCCACGATTCCTAGATCCTTCTCTTCTTTCCCCACTGTTTTTATTCCATTTAGTAGCTGCATTCAAAAGTTAAAAAAAAAAACTCTTACAAAATGTTATAAATACAAAAATTTTCATAAAATAAATATTTATATTATTATACCCTTGTGAGGAATTCATTAGGTTTGCCCAATTTATAAAGAACTCCAATCACTGCTGTTCTGCCTCCAGCACTGGTGTGAACCATGTGAAGCTCCAGGTCGTAACTGTGACACATTTACAAATAAAATTAAAACAGCAATCATTTACTTTTATTTTCCTGGAAAAATTGGTGTTGTGAGCTCATTGTTGTCAAGAAGACAAGAAAACACGAACCGAGTTCCGTTGACAGTATGTTCAGATGGTGAATGCCAATGACATTGCACCAATTTAAACTCCGTTTGACGTATCGTTATTTTGCCAGCATCACCTTTCCACGATACCTTTAATTTTTTTCATTGTTATCATTATTAGAACTAAGTTAACATGCATGGTTACAATAGTGTAATAATAATATAATATGGAAAATGCTTTACCATAACGTCATGTCCTCTGTTCATAATAACAGCTGGGGCTGGCTTGTATTGTCTTCTCCACGCTTCATCAGGAATAAGACTGACTCTTGCGTTAGTGAGATCGATCGGAGATTGTAATTTTCCCGTGTTACAAACTTTCCACTGAGGATTTATTTTGCTCCATCCCTCTGGTCCCTTCTCTGGATTTTGCTCGTATGTAAATGGTGTTTCATCGTCTGTTTCCATAATTAAAATCATAAAAAAAGTTAATGAAGAAAAAAGTCACAAAAAGTTATGAATTATGAGAAAAGTAAAAACTTGATTTCACCAAAGATAACATACCGGCTTCAGCATCATTAGCGACTGAAAATTTGGGGAATGCTAGATAGAGAAAAAATAACGCGAAAATCATAATTGTTTTTGTGTTCGGATCCATTCGTGTTCTTTTTTCTTTTGAGATTTTGAATTTTTTTTTTTTCTTTTGAGATTTTGATTTTGCTTCCTGCTTATTATGTTCTTGAGTATGTTTTATGACATTGAAGGCTTTAGAAATGAGCTATTTAAAAGAATGCTATGCGGGATTTGTTTATTGTTTTATGAAGTTGTTGCGATATTAGTTATAATTTGGTGTGATTTGTTAAAAACAAAAAGAAAAAAAAACTGGATGCTTTGTGAATAAACACAGTTCATTGGACCCATTTCGTTAGAGCATTATTTGACAGAGTAGAAAAATGATTTGGAGTAATAGAGTTAAACCCGTGCATATAAGAGAATATGCTCATTGCTCCAATGTCGAACAAACAGAAATTTAACTGCCAAACTATATATACAAAGTTACAGATACATTACTATATTAAGTAGTTGAAACAATTTGCCTAAGCATAAATGGCGATTCCAAAAAAATGGAGAAATGGTGCAGACTGATTCAGACTTTTGTGCAAGTATAAGAGCCCTCTATATAAACAAAGGAGTTGGAAGCCTAGTTTTAGTGTAAGGTGGTTTGTTTCTTATGCACCGGGTTCAACCACCTTTCATACGAAAAGTTATTTTTAAAATTGAAATTAAAAAAAAAACTGATTTGGCACCTATTATAGATTTGGCTATAAGGCCCGATAATAAAAATGAATATTTTCTCACTATAATAATGTGAATCGTAAATACACCATAAGATCAAATTAGACACTGAAAACACACTGTTTTGATAAGAAGGTGAAAAGACGACTGTTAAGGCGATTTTAGGATTTCTCGATCGATTGATTCCGGCTATCTCCTTTGACGGCCGGATGGGTTCTCAGGGGATACAGGAGGATCCTCCACCTCCGATCATCGCAAAAACGAAGTCATGAGTCTCGGCAGCACAAGAGAACAATGTTCTGAAGAAGTACGATTACGATATTTCATCGGAGGGGAAGCAATCAATAATGGTTCTGTTGGAGGTTGTGGAGAAGGCGGATCTGCTATGGATGATTTTGTGATTCTGAAGTTCTAGGAAACGGCACCTCACGTTGCGAAAGTTCATGTTATTCTAAATAAGATCTGGGCATTTGGGGATAAGGTTCAGAGGCTGGATGTGTATGAAATGGATTCGACTACTACGAGGGTAAGGCTTTCGAATGCTGTGGTGAGAGATAAGGTGATTAGAAGAGGTATGTGAAATATAGCAGGGATACCAATGAAGGTTTCAAGGTGATCTTCGATTGATGATGGAGAAAACAAGCTTATTCCACTGTGGGTGTTTCTGAGGAAGGTTCCTATGAGCATGTACTCGTGGGAGGGTTTGAGTTTTCCAGCAAGTGCCTCTGGTATTCCGGATCATTTGATAGCGGATTTATCCAAGCCATTACCATAGGAGATTGATTACAATATAAATAGAGAGGATGTTACAATAGAGTTCAAATTTCCATGGTTACCTGATAGATGCTCCGGTTGTGGGAAGTGGGGACATCTGGAGGTGAAGTGTAGTAACAAAGAAACAAATGATAAGTCTGAGCAGAAGCATGAAATTGCAAAGAAGGTAGAGGAAAATAATCAAGAGAGTACTGATAAGAGTTTGTTAGAAAAGGGTAGAGAGCAGAGTACTACTGAAAAGTAAATTACACAAGGAAAAGAGAAAGAGATAGAAGTAAGTCAGTCTGCAGTTGATGATTGGTTAACTCCAGGGAAGATAGGAAGGAGTCTGGGAAAACAGAGTGAATTGTTTGATGGAGAGAAAATAATTACTCCTTCTAGATTCTCGGCTTTTAAGTGTAATAGAGGAAGATGAGACATGAATTAATGAAGATATGGGTTTTAAAGAAACACATGAGGTTGAGATAATTCAGAAGGATGTTGATGAAGGGATCATAAATGATGTTAGTCTGGAAGGAAATGATAAGGAGGATAGTAAAACACAGAGACGGATTCTTCCTAGAGAATCAAAGGCTAGACATAAAGTTCTTTCAAAATGTGCTCAAGCTGTTAAGGTTCTTGGACCAAACAACATGGGCAGAAAAGATCCTCGAAAAAATCATTAATTATGGCTAGCTTTTCCTAGAATGTGAGAGGGTTTAATAAACCAAAAAAGCATTATGTGATGAGTAGATGGTGGCAGGGTAGTGATTTAAGTTTTGGGTGTTTGTTGGAAACTAGAGTTAAAGAAGGGAAGAACAATAAAATTGTTTAGGAGGTGTTTAGAGATTGGGAGTTTATGTCAAACTACGAGTATAATGCATTGGGAGGATTTGGGTACTTTGGAAGTCGAGTGTTAGATTAACTCCGGTTTTCAAGAGTGATCAAATTAATACTGTTTCGGTGAACATTAAGGAAATGGAGAAGAGTTTTTTTGTTCGTTTGTGTATGCTAGAAACACAATAGAAGAAAGGAAAGAGCTTTGGAAGGAAGCGAGCATTCAGGTTATGGAGATGCTCCAAATATTTCAGGAGGGATGAGGGACTTTCAAAGAGTGACAAGGCATTGTTGTTGTGGGAACCGAAATTCACACCGTCGATTTCCGTGAATAAAGGAACTTAGAGAAAACCCTAATTTCCCAAAGGTCATGGCTATCTGCTTAACCACACGCAAGCAATCATAATACGACAAAAGATAATAAAATAAACGAGAGTCGAAAAGAGAGCGAAGATGTTTCTTATTCCGATTTTGCGTAAGAACGGTACAACGAGGTGAAAGCCTTGGCTACAAGAGCTGACGGTGAGTTTCCTAGATCTAGCAACCTAAGACTAAAACCCTAGTTGAGACGCAGCTCGATATTAAAAATGGAAAATTGCCTAAATGCTCTAAGTTTTTCTGTTTGAAGAGAGTTCTGAAAATATTCTTTGCTTCTATCCTCGACCTTCTGTTTATATACTCTTTCTCTAGGTGGTTTGGTCTTCCCTTTGCTGCCTTGATTCGTGCTTATTGGAAATCTTTCATTTATCTCGATCTTTCCATTTTTCTTCGAAAAACTTCTATTTATCTTCAATTTTGACATTTATCCACTCCTGCGGATAATAGGCAAACTGTCATTGTATCTTTGGGCTGGACCTTATTCAAAGTCACGAGTGGGCCTTTATCGCGTTTTAGGACCTTTCGGGCCGTTTTCCGATTTAGCCATGTTACGATTTTAGACGAGATTGTTTCCTGATATGATGCCGTTTTTAAGTAAACATCTCGAATTAATCGTATCGGCGAGATGGTTGCTCGGTTTCGGTCTTTTCTTGTTTTCTCGACCCGAGATCCTTGCGGAGAACGTAAGGAGAAGTGCCCATAGGTGTTGATTCCGATCTCAACAATAGTTTTAGTATCTCAGGGAGTTTGGACGTTACGGCTGTTTTTGTTAACTTGGCCAATAAAACCTCAGGGAGTTTGGACGTTACGGCTGTTTTTGTTAACTTGGCCAATAAAACAATCGCGGATTGTTTTATTCGATTTCCCGACAATTTCCAAGATGACGATTGTTAGTTTTAAGGAATTGCCATGTTCGGAGAATCTTTAGATTTCTTCTTGACGCTTTTTCGTGTTTTTAAAACCTATTCTTAACTTTGCGAAAAGTTTTAGTCGTTGATTCCGTCGTAACCGATTTTGACCCCAACAGCTGTCTGACTGATAACGGTTATCAAGGGCCGTTATATACCTGGTGCAACAAAAGAGAAACTAGCCTTATTTGTAAGAAACTTGATTGGGTACTGGTAAATGACGTCTGGCTGCCTCAACACTCTCAAGTTTACAGTGTGTTTGAGTCGGGTGGATGCTCAGATCATCTTAGAAGTAAAACTCAGATCAGAGAGAAGTTGAACAGAGAAGGAGGCCATTCAAATTCACTAATGATATTGGAAAGATGCCATAATTTCACAAGCGGCTTGAGGAGTAGTAGGGCGAGTCTGCTCGTTTTTTTCCCTCAACAACATCTATGTTTAGGCTCACCAAAAAACTGAAGGCGTTGAAGTTTCCTTTGCGGAAATTGAGTAAGAAGAAATTAGGGGATTTTCCGAGAAGAGTGAAGGAAGCGTATGTGATTCTTTGTGATAAACAGAAGGAGACAATGGAGAATCCTTTAGTTCTAGCAGTACAAGATGAACCAGAGGCGTTAACAAGATGGCAAAGACTTGCTGACCTGGAAGAAGAATTTTTTAAGTAGCGTTCTAAATTACACTGGCTTAATGTGGGAGATCAAAACACCAAAGTGTTTCATAATGCCGTGAAGTTGAGAGAATTCAGAAACGAAATTAATGAACTCAGAGGTCAGGATGGCTCAAGAATCACTGGAGAAATTAAGAAAGAAGCTGAGAGATATTTTGCTGAATTTTTTTATCTCATAAGCCTCAGGAGTTTGAAGGTGTAACTGTTGAGAGGTTAAGTGAGCTTCTGAAGTTCAGATGTAATGATATGGAGATGATGCAGTTGCAACGAGAGGTAACAGAGGAGGAAGTGAGAAAAGTAATTTTTAATATGCCATCTGATAAATCTTGAGGTCCTGATGGATACACGAGTGAGTTCTTTAAAGGGACTTGGGGGATCATTCGAAGAGATGTAACTGTTGTTATTCAATCTTTCTTTGAGAAAAGGTTTCTTTCCAAAAGGATTAAATTCAACCATCCTTGCATTGATATCGAAGAAGGACAAGGCTGAAGAAATAAAAAATTACCATCCTATTTTGTGTTGCAACGTTCTTTATAAGGCAATCTCAAAAATCTTGGCAAACAGACTAAAGAGTGTTTTCCCGAAGTTTATAGCTCTGAAACAATCTACTTTTATCAGTGACCGTCTTCTACTGGAGAATCTATTTCTTGCCACTGAGCTGGTTAAAAACTATCACAAAGAAGAGATTTCATCAAGATGTTGTATCAAGATCGACATATCGGAAGCTTTTGACTCCGTTCAATGGCTGTTTCTGCTGAATACCTTACAGGCTCTTGGTTTCCCAGCTAAGTTCATCCACTGGATTAATCTCTGCATTAGCAC